TTTTAAGCCACGGGGTCTGTGATGCGAACCGCGGTCGACTATGTGGGAGTCCAGCGACATAGCCATTACGCTAACTGCTGGTTCCCCCCAGTGTATTTCTTAAGCTGCCAGGTCTGGGACTCGAACCACATAGTCGGCCATGTGGGACCCAATTGCCTTAATCACTATGTCACTGACTGGCATGTCTTAAAAAAAAAAGTATGGTTTATGCGCCAGGAGCACTGTCGTCACCAGAGAGCTTTGGCAAATGCGGAGCCTCAGGTCCCACACAGACGTATAGATCAGGAATATGTGCTTTAGCCAGATCCTGGGGGCTTCTCACACACAGTCCCACCACAGAAGCCTGGGGCGTGGTAGGGGGCAGGTGGGGAGAGAGTGGCTACAACGCCAGAGAGGGCCTTGTGCCGAGGTCTTGGTCATGGGGAGCCATGGAAGGCTTCGTGTAGGAAAGGGTTCGGGTACACTCAGATTGCAGAAAGCTCCTGCTTGCGGCCCTGGGTAAGGATCCAGGGCGAGGTGGTGGCTGTCCCTGTTGGAGCAGATGAGGACTTTTGGTGGCCATGGTGGGAGGGGGTGGGTGAGGCCAAGCAGAAACCAGAGGGCTGGTGACGGCTGGGATGAGGGTGGGAACTGAGATGGGCTTTGGGCAGACCCTGACCCCCTCTCTGTGTGCTGGCCCACCAGATGATGTTGCCGGGGTTCCTGGGCGAGGTGGTGCCCCCCGAGACATTGGCGGCCACGTTGGCTCAGTTGGACAGGTGCCTGCAGCTCCTGGAGGACAAGTTCTTACGTGACCAGGCCTTCCTCACGGGGCCCCACATCTCCATGGCGGACTTGGTGGCCATCACAGAACTGATGCATGTGAGTGTCCTGGAGTGAGGCGGGGTGCAGGGCAGTGGGATGTCCCGGGAGGAAGCTGACGTCCCAACTCACGCTGCCTTTCCTAGCTACGGGGCCCTGGGTGTCACTGCTCCCTTGGAGCCTCAGTACCCTCACCTACAAAATGTGGCTTTGTAAGTCCTCACTGCGGTGAGGTTGAGGCGTGTCCCAGTGACCCCAGCAAGGGGGACCCCCCTTCAGCCCATCCAGCCCATCATGCACGTGGTCCAAGAAAGAAAGTCCATCGGGGAACCCCTACAGCAGGTCCCGTCCCCCTATGCTTGCTCTGCCCTGCCTCTCAGTGCCTGTGCTTGGCTACCTCTCCCCGCAGCCTGTCAGTGCCGGCTGCCGAGTCTTCGAGGGCCGACCCAAACTGGCTGCATGGCGGCAGCGTGTGGAGGCTGCAGTCGGGGAAGACCTCTTCCAGGAAGCCCACGCCCTTGTTCTGAAGGCCAAGGACATGCCTCCAGCAGACCCTGCTGTGAAAGAGAAGCTGAGGCCCTTAGTGCGGGTGTTCTTGCAGTGAATGGGTGACTGGGGCCTGCAGAGCCACCAACAGAGACACTGACTTGTCAGAATAAAGACCTGGGGCCACCTGTCTCCTGGGCTGTCCGACCGTCTCTGGAACCCAGTGACCCCTGAGTGTTAGGCTGACATCCTTCTGTCTTGTCACCCCACTTATACCCTTCCGCTCCAGCTTCCATGGGACCTCCTGTAAGAGCTCTAGTAAACTTGACTTGATTCTGTCCTCCTGTTGGAAACCTTCCATGGTTCGGCACTGCCCTAAGCCGAAGTACAAGTCGTTTTGCATTCTTCATTCAAGACTTTGCTCCATCTCCCCAGGCTTCCCCCTTCTGATCACACATGTTTCAGACCCCTCGCTCAGCTCCCACTTTAAAAAACAAATTTAATTATTTATTTAATTTTATTCATTCATTTTTTGTTTTTAAATTTCACCAGGGAGAGAGTTAGAGAGAGAAAGTGGGAAAGCAAGCTACCAGGTCCAGGACTTGAACCATGGTTGGCTATGTGGAAATGTCCAGCACCTTAAACACTTGCAGGTGTTTTTGTTTTTAAAGAGACATTTTTGTTGTAGTGTGCATGCGTTTGCCAAAGAGAGAGAGAGAAACAGAGAGACAGAAAGCGAGAAATCATCCCCCGGGGGGATGGTCACGCCGCACTCCCTTCTCCTCTATTCTCCTCTCGGGATCTTGGGCACGCATGCACACATGCCCGGTGTGAGTTTTAAGACGCTGGGTCTGAGACTCGAACTGTGGTCAACTACGTGGGAGTTCAGTGACATAGCCATTAGCTCCTATTTTTGAGCATCCTGGGACTGACTCATGCCTTTCCCTCTTCATCCTCTTTTCTTTTCTTTTCTTTCTTTTTTTTTTTTAAATTATTGGGAACCAGCAGTTAGCGTAATGGCTATGTCGCTGGACTCCCACGTAGTCGATCGCGGTTCGTGTCCCGGACCCGGTGGCTTAAAACTCACGCCGGGCGCGTGTGCGTGTGTGCCCAAGCTCCCGAGAGGAGAATGGAGGAGAATGGAGGAGAAGGGATTGCGGCGTGACCATCCCCCCTGGGGGGTGATTTCTCGCTTTCTGTCTCTATGTCTCTCTCTGTCTGTCTGGCGAGCGCACGTGCCCTACAGTGAAAATCTCTCAAAAAAAAATTATTTATTTAGGGGCAGGCAGGTGGCGTGGTGGTTATGGGCACTAGACTCCCACATGGCTGACCGTTTAGACAAGAGAATGATATATTTAACTTTATTTATTCATTCATTTATTTTTAATTTGACCAGAGAGAGAGAGAAAATGAGAAAGCAAGCCACCAGGTCCAGGACTGAAACCATGGTCGGCCATGTGAGAGTGTCCAGCACCTTGACCACCACGCTACCCACTGGTCCCCATCTTCTTTTCTTTCTAAACTGTCAGAGGACATGTGCACTCATGGGGGTGGGGGGCAGGGGGAGGAAGTGGAGTGGAGGGCGAGGTAAGCTCCACCCTCGAGATGTGATCATGCCGAAATCCCTTCTCCTTTATTTTTTCATCTTGTTGGGATTTGGGGCATGCACACACATGGGCCTGGTGTGTTTTTTCAAGCCACCAGGGCCAGGATTCAAACCGGTGTAGGCCATGTAGAATCTGGCTCCCTTAACCACTAGGCCACCGGGCTGGCCTTCCCTCTTCATCTTCTATGCCTAGTGCACCTCCTGGTCTTTTGACATAAGGCACCATTGTCGCTTTTCCAGGGAGACGTTTCTGACCTGCCCAGCCCCAGGCCAAGCCAAGTGACCCCTCAGGGCTCTTCAGCCCCAGTGTTTCTGTCCTCAGTCCTGGCAGGGGGCAAGTGTCACACCCCTGGGCTGAGTGTGGATCATGGATCGGGGGGTTGACCCATTGAAGACATGTCCAAATCAGGAATGGCCTCACCACGTGTCCCACAGGTAAGACGCTGACTGGTTCATAAACCTCCTTGCAGGGAGGGTCATCCCTGGCCCTCCCGGTGTTGCTAAGCAGCCTCGCTCTCCTGTATTCACCCCTAACCTCGCTCTCCCGTATTCACCCCTAACCTTGATCGCTATCTTCTCTGTGCCTCATTCTGGGTCCCAGATTTGTTCCCTGTTCCTGTCATCTGCCCCAGGACTGTCACAGCTTAACTGTCTCATGTCCTAGATCCTCTGATGTTTGAATCATCTGATAAACGGACTTCTAATGTGCTAGGGTCGTGACCACATCTTGGCCCACTCGCCTCCCCGTGGAGGCTCCTTTATTACACACACTTCCATAGAATTTTATTTGCTGTAATGGTTACGTCATGGATTCCCACATAGTTGACCATGGTTTGAGTGCCAAACCAGGCAGCTTGAAACTCAGACCTGGCATGTGTGCATGCATGCCCCGAAATCCCAGGAGGAGAATGGAGGAGAAGGGATGGCAGCATGGCCATCCTCCCTGGGGGGTGATTTCTCGCTTTCTGTCTCTCTCTCTGGTAAGTGCACGTGCCCCGTGGCAATAATCTCTCTTTTGAAAAAGTATCTTATAGTTGTAATTGAAGGACATATGACGGGACTTCAAAAAGTTCACGGAGGACCTGCCCCATAACCTGGTGGTTAAGAGAGCTGGATTCCACATGGCCTACTGGGCAGTTGGAATTTTGGCACTGGAGGCTTGAAAAGCACACCAGGCATACGTGTGTACCTGCCCAAAAGCTTGACCGAATGTATCAAGGAGGAAAAGAGATTGCAGTATGGGACCAACAATTAGCGTAATGGCTATGTCACTGAACTCCCATGTAGTCGACCACAGTTCGAATCTCGGACCTGGTGGCTTAAACTCACGCCGGGCGCGTGTGCGTGTGTGCCCAAGATCCCGAGAAGAGAATGGAGGAGAAGGGATTGCGGCGTGGTTATCCCCCCTGGGGGGTGATTTCTCGCTTTCTGTCTCTCTGTCTCTCTGGCGAGTGCACGTGCCCTGTAGAAAAATAAATAAATAAATAAACCTCTAAAAAAAAGGGGGGGGATTGCAGTGTGATCACATCCCATTGGGGAACTTTCTCTCCTTCGTTCTCTGTCTCTGATGGGTCCACATGCCCTTTGGCAATAAAAAAAATTCATGGAAAAATGGAATTGAAGTACCAGTTTATCTTGATGCAAAAAATTGAAATTTATTCATTTTAAAGCATATTAGTATTGAACACATTTAAATTTTTTAAATTTATTATTAGTAGTAGTTTTGAATTTGTTATGGGGCACACATGCTCACCAGAGAGAGACACAGAGAGAGAGAGAGAGAGAGAGAGAGAGAGAAAGCAATCGCCAGATCCAGGACTTGAACTGTGGTTAGTCATGTGAGAGTCCAGCGCTTTAGCTACCACACCACTTGCTGGCTCCAGTCATAGTTTTTATTTTTTTAAATTGTGAGCGGACAGGTGTGCTTGGGTGCAAGGTTGGGGGAAACACCTCCCAAGGGGTTGTGATCACACATAATGGCTTTTCCTGTTTCTCAGGAGTTGGGGAATGTACACACGCCCCAATGTGTTTTTCAAGCTGTCAGCTGCACTGGGTCATGTGGGATTGAATTCCCTATCCACAATGCTTAACTGCTGTACTGGGGGTGAGGCCCTGTCATTTTTATATAATATACACGTTTTCATGAACTTTTTGAAGACTTTTTATATGGACCCACACAATCTCAATTATATTTGAGATTTAACAACTCAAATAACTTGTAACAGTGATGATAATCTTATTTGAACTCTACCAAGATTTTCATTTTTTAAAAAAAAGATTAATTATTACTATTATTTTTAAATAATTATTTATTTAATTTTATTTATTGATTCATTTATCCTAATTTGACCAGAGAGAGACACACAGAGAGAGAGGGAATGTGAGAAAGCAAGCCACCAGGTCCGGTATTTGAACCGCTATTGGCCATGTGGGAGTGTCCAGCGCCTTAACCATCATGCCACCTGCTGGTCCCCCTAAAGTAATTATTATTTAGACATTTGCTATAGGGCAGGTGCACTCACCAGAGAGAGAAAGAGCAAGAAAGTGAGAAAGCAATCTGCTAGGTCTGGGGTAGACAGGAACGCAGGGAGTCCAACCACCTGCTGGTTCCCGATTTCCCTCTTTTAAAGAACATTTTTGTCAGCCTCTGATGGACACTGGCTCACCACTGACATAAGAGGCTACAAGACTGCCATGAGCCTATCTCTGTCCAGCCTCACAGGCGCCCCGACGCGGCTCCTTGATGGTTCAATAGTATCTAACATTGTCCCCACCGCAACTCATTGAAAAGAAGTCGAAAGCCCCGTGGCGATCGTTATGAGGGTCGGGCCTGGGGAAGGTCCCTAAAGGAGTGTGTAGGTTTTGGGTGGGTGTTCAAATCTTCATCTAAATATGAGCTAGGAGCCAGGCGTCCGCAGTTCCCAAAGCCTAAAGAGGGAAAATCTACCGCCTGCGGGGCTGGAGCAGAAACTGCGCTAGATTGGGTGGGCGGGGCCGGGGTGCGATGGGGTAGCCAATCGGAGAGCGCGCAGTCTCTGCCCAGCCAATGAAGAGCCTGGTTGCTGTGACGCCCCGCCCCGCCCCTATTCTACAAGCCTTGGGTACTCCCAGCCCGACTGCCCGCCGGTTCTGTCTCTGCCGAGTCCCCTACGTCCCTCTGACCGACATGCCGTTCCTTGAGCTGGACACGAATTTGCCGGCTGATCGCTTGCCGGCGGGGTTGGAGAAGAGGCTCTGCGCAGCGGCCGCCGCCATCCTGGGCAAACCCGAGAACGTGAGCGTGGTCCGGGGAGCACCGGGCTAGGGGAGGTCGATGCATTGGGGGTCCAGCTCTGTCCACGCCCACTTTCTCATAGTGACCCCGACTGCACCCCTCAGGGATCCCTGACTCCACCTGCCACGCTTTGACTTTCTGTGCCCCATGACTCCGCGGTCCCCCCTCCTATGTCAGACCGTTGCCCTCCCTAGCCATGACCCTGACATGATCTCTAATGACCCGTGCCCATGCCCCGGGGATCCCCGATCCTGCAGGCCCCGCACGTCTCTGCTCTGGCGCGGGGGGCCAGACTGCAACTTCAGGCCAAACTTCTGTGTCTTTCGCAGCGCGTGAACGTGACAGTGCGGCCCGGCCTACCCATGGCGGTGAGCGGTTCCACCGAGCCTTGCGCGCAGCTGTTAGTCTCCTCCATCGGTGTGGTGGGCACGGCTGAGCAGAACCGAGCCCACAGCGCCAGCTTCTTCGAGTTCCTCACCAAGGAGCTGGCCCTGGGCCAGGACCGGTGCGTAGACTCAGGGAGAGCATTCCCTGGGTACTGCTGAGCGACCCTGGGCAGTCTCCCATGGCAGGGCCTCTCCAACGCTTTGCTGGGGAAAGACTTTTCAGGGCCCGTTGTCCCAGGGCCCCTAGACCACTCAGGCCTCCTGGTGGTGGGTCCATCTTCAGAATGGCAGCGGCATCGAGTGAATTCCCAGCTCTGCAGCTATCCCTGTGACACCCGGGAAAGACTTGTTTTTTGTTTTCTTTCTTGACCTTGGGGTTTCCCTGTAAACTGGGAAAGCTGCCTTTTAACCACTCCTCGGGGGGCGTCGCAAGTACCATGGGAAGGGCTGTGTGCAGCCTTGGCACCTAGCAGCCTAAGAAGACGTTATTAGCCCAAAGAAGCCAGAGGGTCTGATTTTCCCCGGCTGTTCAGAAGGAATTCTGGGTATATCCTGAGGCTGTGACCTTTAAACCTGTGACTCAACCTGATCCAGGGAAAGGGTTACAGAGCAGTGAAAGGAGCATTGGTCTCCCTGTAGCTGGTTTCTGGACCATCTCCAGCTGGTGGGCTCCACTTCTGTGAGCAGAATCGGGTGATTAAACTGCCTCCCTTCCTCACAAGAAGCCCCTACAACCCAGACCTGTGGTTGGGTTGACATCTGCTTCGGGGTGAAAAATACCGCAGAGTCCGTGTCTGTGAGGAGCTAATAGTGTAAGAGGCTCGAAGAGTCCTTCCAAAATGCAGCCTTTGTTGGCCTAACAAAGCTAGTGAGGGTTGGCTGTGTCAGGGAGCGCATTCCCTGGGTACTGCTGAGCAACGCTGGGCAGTCTCCCATGGCCAGGACTGGTGCATAGCATAGAGTCAGGGAGAGCATTCCCCGGGTACTACTGAGCACTCAGGCCCAATCCTCCAGCTGGGGAGAGATAATATAGTAATTCTTTTTTTTTCTCTCTCTTTTTTTCTTTTTTTGGAGAGGTTTTTGCTATAGGGCGCGTGTGCTCGCCAGACAGAGAGAGACAGAGAGAAAGCGAGAAATCACCCCCCGGGGGGAGATGGCCACGACGCAATCCCTTCTCCTCCATTTTCCTCTCGGGATCTTGGGCACGCACACACATGCGCTCGGCGTGAGTTTAAGCCACCGGGTCTGGGACTCGAACCGCGATCGACTACGTGGGAGTCCAGCGACATAGCTATTACGCTAACTGCTGGTCCCAAGATAATATAGTAATTCTAACAAGATAAGGGATGTATGAATGCGTACCATATGCTGAGCAGGCTACAGGTGCTTTATCTATGGGGTCCCATTTGGTCGTTATAAGCCCTGCCCACACCACCTTGCACAGACATGCCGTCCCCATGAGGTAGATAACTCCATTATGCCTATCTTATTTTTAATATTTCATTTTTTTCTTTTTATTTATTTACTTATTTTTCTGCTGTAGGGCACATGTACTTAGTGGAGAGACAAAGGCAGAGAGACAGAAAGTGATAAATCACTCCCCCAGGGGGGGTGGCCATGCAGCAATCCCTCCTCCTCCATTCTTATGGGGCTTAGGGTTAGGCTTAGGGTTTAGGGTTAGAGTTAGGGTTAGGGTTTGGTTAGGGTTAGGGTTAGGGTTTAGTTAGGGTTAGGGTGTTTAGGTATGTATGCTCATGTCCCCGGCATGAATTTCAAGCCTCTATGTCCAGGGCTCAAACCATAACTTACTATGTGGGAATCCAGCAACGTAACTATTATACCATCTGCTGGTCCTGCCTGTTTTGTTTGTTTGTTTTTGAAGAAGTTTTTGCTATAGGGCGTGTGCGCTCACCAGAAAGACAGAGAGACAGAGACAGAAAGTGAGAAATCACCCCCAGGGGGAATGGCCACGCTGCAATCCCTTCTCCTCCATTCTCCTCTTGGGATCTTGGGCACACACGCACATGCGCCCAGTGTGAGTTTAAGCCACCGGGTCCAGGACTTGTACTGTGGTCGGCTACATGAGAGTCCAGCAACACAGCCATTACGCCAACTGCTGGTCCCCACCCCCCCCTTTTTTTTAAATAGACACGTATTTATCTATTTATTTGTCATGATTTTTCTTTTTAAAAATAGTTCATTTCACTTAATTAATTAATTTTAATTTGATCAAAGAGGGATGGAGTGAAAGAGAGAGAGAGAGAAAGTGAGAAAGTGAGAAAGCAAGCCATGAGGTCCAGGACTCGAACCGTAGTTGACCATGTGGGAGTCCAGCACCCTTAACCACCACGTCACTTGCCAGATCCCTTGTCATGATTTTTCAATCTGCTCACTCTGGGAAGCGAACTATAGTCAGCCATGGGGGAGTCCAGTGCCCTAGCCACCACGCTACCTGCAGGCCCCCATTATGCCTATTTTACAGGTGGAAAAACTGAGGCTATCATCCCCCTAACACACATTCACACACACACTCCTGGATAGCTGAATCTCTGGTGCTCTTCACCATCAGCTGTGTGAGAATAACACAGTCCTAAGACATGAATCAGGGGTCCCCCTATACCTGGTCTTGAGCCAGGCTTTGAGAATACAGGTGCTGAGGCCCTGTGCATGCCCTTGGGGAGCCCCCTGGTGTGATAGAAATGACAAGGCGTACAGTGACTACTGTGGTTGCTTGTTGTGTGTTGTATGTGTTGCGTGAGATGAACCCTGATATCCAGCCCCCATCCCGCCCCTGACAGGCCACACCACCCTGTCCAGGGTCAGCAGAAGATCATTCCTGGGATGAATAAACTTGGAAAATGCCGGGGGGAGCTGAGGCAGGCTGGCCAGAGGGCCTGCAGTAGGAGTGCCTGGCAGGGGTCTTGCAAGATGAGGTGTTAGACCCGGAGCTGACGCCTTCTTTTCTGTCTCCTGAAGGATAAATATCCGCTTTTTCCCTCTGGAGCCCTGGCAGATTGGCAAGAACGGGACGGTCATGACGTTTTTATGATTGGCATGGAGGGCATCTGGGGCGTCTGTCAACTGGTCGCCCCTTCCAGAGAGGCCTCCCGGCAGAATGAGGGCCTGACGGACACCAGCTTCGGGCGCCCCTTTAAGCAGACATGCCTGTGACCCCACAGTGTATGCCAAAAAATAAAGGAAAAGTGCTTCGTTGTTCTAACATGACTGCATCTCCTAAGAGCCCCCGTGGCCTCCTGAGCCACTGTGGGCAGCGCGGTTGGTTTATGAAAAGGGCGCCTTAGGAAACCTGGCAGCCGCTGTTTCCTGGCTTCAGGGACACTGATGCGTTTGGACTGCTCCGATCTGGGGGTGGAGGGCTCCACCTGTGGGGTTCTGCCCTTTGCACTCGTGTGCAGGCAGGTGGGGAGGGTGGGCAGCTCACCAGGCCTGGGCCTTCCTGCAGACTCTGCTTTTCTCCTGAGGCTCCTGTCTCCAGCCTGGGGTGGTTGGCCTGGGCCTTTTCCTCCTGCTGTCCTGAGCAGGGTAATCGGGCAGGCTGGGCTTCAGGACCCTCCCTGGACATGCCAGGGAGAGGAGCTTCTCCTTTTTTCTCGACTCTTGCTGAGAATTCACTGGAGCTGTGTACCTTGTAAAAACCCCGGTCCCAGAAAGCCAAGCCTAGAAATGCAGTGTCTGCTACTGGAACCTGAATGAATACGGCTCTGCCCCCAATATAAATACCGTAGAATTAAAAAACTCTTTGGCTATAGGTGTATGTGTGCTCATGGAGACACAGTTAGAGACAGAGACAGAGAAAGCAAGAATCTGCCAGGGCGAATGGTCACACTGCAATCACAGGGATTTTGGGCACACATGCAGATAAGTGTTTTTCTTCCTTGTTATTTTTTTTTTAAATAGTTATTTATTGGAGGCTGGTGGTTAAGGGCACTGGACTCCCATATGGCCGACTATAGTTCAAGTTCTGCACCTGACAGCTTGTTTTCTCTCTCTCTCTCTCACTCTGTCCCCCTCTGGTCAAATAAGTAAATAAAGTTAAATAGGACCAGCAGTTAGCGTAATGGCTGTCACAGGACTCCCATGTAGTCGACTGTGGTTCGAGTCCTGGACCCGGTGGCTTAAACTCACGCCGGGCATGTGTGCGTGTGTGCCCAAGATCCCGAGAGGAGAATGGAGGAGAAGGGATTGCGGCGTGGCCATCCCCCCTGGGGGGTGATTTTTTCGCTTTCTCTGTGTCTCTCTGTCTTCCTGGTGAGTGCTTGCGCCCTATAGCAAAAACCTCTCCAAAATAAATAAATAAAGTTAAATAAAGTAATTATCTTTTAAAAATAATGATTTATTTAATTCCCCCCCCCTTTTTATTTTCTGAGAGGTTTTTGCTATAGGGTGCATGCGCTCACCAGCAAGACACAGAGACAGACAGAAAGCGAGAAATCACCCCCAGGGGGGATGGCCATGCTGCAATCCCTTCTCCTCCATTCTCTCGGGATCTTGGGCATGCACGCACACACGCCCGGCGTGAGTTTAAGCCACCAGGTCCAGAACTCAAACTGCCGTCCACTACATGAGAGTCCAGCGACATAGTCATTATGCTAACTGCTGGTCCCCCATTTATTATTTTTATTTAAAAATAATAATTTAATTCCACTTGTTAACTGCTATTTAAAATAATTATTCATTTAATTCCATTTGTTGTTGTTATTACTTTTTAATTTGACCAGAGAGAGAGAAAGGTTAAGTGAGAAAGCAAGCTCCCAGGTCTGGGACTTGAACCATGGTCAGCCATGTGGGAGTCCAGCACCCTAAATACCATGCCACCTGTCAGCCCTCCCCACCCCCCCCTTTTTTTAAATAGACACGTATTTATCTATTTATTTGTCATGATTTTTCTTTTTAAAAATAGTTCATTTCACTTAATTAATTAATTTTAATTTGATCAAAGAGGGATGGAGTGAAAGAGAGAGAGAGAGAAAGTGAGAAAGTGAGAAAGCAAGCCATGAGGTCCAGGACTCGAACCGTAGTTGACCATGTGGGAGTCCAGCACCCTTAACCACCACGTCACTTGCCAGATCCCTTGTCATGATTTTTCAATCTGCTCACTCTGGGAAGCGAACTATAGTCAGCCATGGGGGAGTCCAGTGCCCTAGCCACCACGCTACCTGCAGGCCCCCATTATGCCTATTTTACAGGTGGAAAAACTGAGGCTATCATCCCCCTAACACACATTCACACACACACTCCTGGATAGCTGAATCTCTGGTGCTCTTCACCATCAGCTGTGTGAGAATAACACAGTCCTAAGACATGAATCAGGGGTCCCCCTATACCTGGTCTTGAGCCAGGCTTTGAGAATACAGGTGCTGAGGCCCTGTGCATGCCCTTGGGGAGCCCCCTGGTGTGATAGAAATGACAAGGCGTACAGTGACTACTGTGGTTGCTTGTTGTGTGTTGTATGTGTTGCGTGAGATGAACCCTGATATCCAGCCCCCATCCCGCCCCTGACAGGCCACACCACCCTGTCCAGGGTCAGCAGAAGATCATTCCTGGGATGAATAAACTTGGAAAATGCCGGGGGGAGCTGAGGCAGGCTGGCCAGAGGGCCTGCAGTAGGAGTGCCTGGCAGGGGTCTTGCAAGATGAGGTGTTAGACCCGGAGCTGACGCCTTCTTTTCTGTCTCCTGAAGGATAAATATCCGCTTTTTCCCTCTGGAGCCCTGGCAGATTGGCAAGAACGGGACGGTCATGACGTTTTTATGATTGGCATGGAGGGCATCTGGGGCGTCTGTCAACTGGTCGCCCCTTCCAGAGAGGCCTCCCGGCAGAATGAGGGCCTGACGGACACCAGCTTCGGGCGCCCCTTTAAGCAGACATGCCTGTGACCCCACAGTGTATGCCAAAAAATAAAGGAAAAGTGCTTCGTTGTTCTAACATGACTGCATCTCCTAAGAGCCCCCGTGGCCTCCTGAGCCACTGTGGGCAGCGCGGTTGGTTTATGAAAAGGGCGCCTTAGGAAACCTGGCAGCCGCTGTTTCCTGGCTTCAGGGACACTGATGCGTTTGGACTGCTCCGATCTGGGGGTGGAGGGCTCCACCTGTGGGGTTCTGCCCTTTGCACTCGTGTGCAGGCAGGTGGGGAGGGTGGGCAGCTCACCAGGCCTGGGCCTTCCTGCAGACTCTGCTTTTCTCCTGAGGCTCCTGTCTCCAGCCTGGGGTGGTTGGCCTGGGCCTTTTCCTCCTGCTGTCCTGAGCAGGGTAATCGGGCAGGCTGGGCTTCAGGACCCTCCCTGGACATGCCAGGGAGAGGAGCTTCTCCTTTTTTCTCGACTCTTGCTGAGAATTCACTGGAGCTGTGTACCTTGTAAAAACCCCGGTCCCAGAAAGCCAAGCCTAGAAATGCAGTGTCTGCTACTGGAACCTGAATGAATACGGCTCTGCCCCCAATATAAATACCGTAGAATTAAAAAACTCTTTGGCTATAGGTGTATGTGTGCTCATGGAGACACAGTTAGAGACAGAGACAGAGAAAGCAAGAATCTGCCAGGGCGAATGGTCACACTGCAATCACAGGGATTTTGGGCACACATGCAGATAAGTGTTTTTCTTCCTTGTTATTTTTTTTTTAAATAGTTATTTATTGGAGGCTGGTGGTTAAGGGCACTGGACTCCCATATGGCCGACTATAGTTCAAGTTCTGCACCTGACAGCTTGTTTTCTCTCTCTCTCTCTCACTCTGTCCCCCTCTGGTCAAATAAGTAAATAAAGTTAAATAGGACCAGCAGTTAGCGTAATGGCTGTCACAGGACTCCCATGTAGTCGACTGTGGTTCGAGTCCTGGACCCGGTGGCTTAAACTCACGCCGGGCATGTGTGCGTGTGTGCCCAAGATCCCGAGAGGAGAATGGAGGAGAAGGGATTGCGGCGTGGCCATCCCCCCTGGGGGGTGATTTTTTCGCTTTCTCTGTGTCTCTCTGTCTTCCTGGTGAGTGCTTGCGCCCTATAGCAAAAACCTCTCCAAAATAAATAAATAAAGTTAAATAAAGTAATTATCTTTTAAAAATAATGATTTATTTAATTCCCCCCCCCTTTTTATTTTCTGAGAGGTTTTTGCTATAGGGTGCATGCGCTCACCAGCAAGACACAGAGACAGACAGAAAGCGAGAAATCACCCCCAGGGGGGATGGCCATGCTGCAATCCCTTCTCCTCCATTCTCTCGGGATCTTGGGCATGCACGCACACACGCCCGGCGTGAGTTTAAGCCACCAGGTCCAGAACTCAAACTGCCGTCCACTACATGAGAGTCCAGCGACATAGTCATTATGCTAACTGCTGGTCCCCCATTTATTATTTTTATTTAAAAATAATAATTTAATTCCACTTGTTAACTGCTATTTAAAATAATTATTCATTTAATTCCATTTGTTGTTGTTATTACTTTTTAATTTGACCAGAGAGAGAGAAAGGTTAAGTGAGAAAGCAAGCTCCCAGGTCTGGGACTTGAACCATGGTCAGCCATGTGGGAGTCCAGCACCCTAAATACCATGCCACCTGTCAGCCCCTATTATTATTTTTAAAAATTTGAATAGAGACAGAGAGAGAAAAAGGGAAGATGAGAAAGTAAGCCACTAGGTTTGGGACTCAAACCGTGGTTGGCCGTGTGGGAATCCAGCTCCCCATGTTCCATGCCACCTGCTGGCCCTGAGATGCATGTTTTTCAAGCTGCTGGGTCTGGGACTCGAACCATGCAGTTGGCTATGTGGGACCTAGCTGCCTTAACTACCACACAACTGGCTGGCCCCATATCATAATTTTTTTGTAAGTTTTTGTTATAGGGCACATGCACTTGCCAGAGACAGGGAGAGACAAACACAGAGAAGGAAAGTGAGAAATCACCCTCGAGGGGATGGCCATGCCACAATCCTTTCTCCTCCATTCTTCTCCTGGGATTTTGGCTATGCACACACAAGCACCTGGCATGATTTTCAAGCCACCGATCTGAGACTCGAACCATGCACCCGGCTGTATGGGATCCAGTGTTGTAACCCCCACATCACCTGTTGGCTCTCATATCATGATTTTGCATTTTAGAGTATGTGTGGGTGGGGTAGGGAGAGCCCACTGGACCTCTCCATTTCGGTAGCTTTCCAGATGTTGGATGCAGAATAGACATCTCAGGACCCTTACCCCTGCGGCTGGCACTGTTTCCCCTGCGTGGTTAAATGCCTTGTCTTCAGTGCACCAGCAAGATGCCATTTGGGACTTTCAGTCTGTGCAGTCTACATAGTTAATTAAGTTAGCTTCTTATAGGATGTGCCTGCTGAGGTTGTGCCTGACCACTGCTAAGAACTCTTTCTCTTTTTGGAGAGGTTTTTGCTATAGGGTACGTGCACTCGCCGGAAAGACAGAGAGAGACAGAGAGACAAAAAGTGAGAAATCACCCCCCAGGGGGGATGGCCACACCGCAATCCCTTCTTCTCCATTCTGCTCTCGGGATCTTGGGCACGCACATACACAGTGTGAGTTTAAGCCACCAGGTCTGGGACTCGAACCGCGGTTGGCTACATGGAGTTCAGCAACACAGCCATTACGCTAACTGCTGGTCCCAGAACTCTTACTAAAAGCTAGACATGAAGGACTAGTACATGGCATAATGGTTATGTCACTGGACTCCCACATGGCCAACCACCCTTCGAGTCCTGGTCTCGGTGGCCTGAAACTCATGCTGGGCATGCGTGCGTGTATGTTCAAAATCCTAAGAGGAGAATGGAAGAGAAGAGACTGTAGCAAAGCCACCTCCCCACCGGGTCTGGGACTCGAACAGTGGTCAACCACAAGGGAGTCCAGCGACATAGCCATTACGCTAACTGCTGGTCCCTTAAGAGAGATTTTTTGGTATAGGTGGCATGTGCTCACTGGAGAAAGACAGAGACAGAAAGCAAGAAATCATCCCCGGAGGGATTGCCATGCTGCAATCCCTTCTCTACCCTCTTCTCAGGATTTTGGCATGCCCAGCATGAATTTTAAGCCACTGGGACTTGAACCATAGTCAACAACATGAAAGTCCAGCAACTTGGGAACCAGCAGTTAGCGTAATGGCTATGTCGCTTGACTCCCACGTGG